TTTCAAATATTATTTATAAATATTAATATTTTATATATAAACAAAAAAAAATTTCTTAAATATATACATGCATGTGTGTGTATTTATATATACATAATAAATATACCCAGTACAAACACACATATTATGTGAACAAAAACCTTTATTTTGGATGCGATTAATCGCGATTAATCGTTTGAGAGCACTAATTCATATATATTTTATTAATAAAATATATTATTTTAAAATATAATTAGGCATTAGGGGTGTTGCAATATTGACAACTCTAAATCAAATATTATCATGTTAATAATAATCATACTAAATAATTTTTATTCTCATACACTATTGGCCAATTATCAATTGATTCATTGTACAAAAAAAAAATTTGAAAACAAAAAATAAACGATGAAAGATGAATTTGACTGATAGCATTATAGTAATTCTTTTTATTATTTTTCAAATGTTCTCTAGATAATTGGCACATTAATCATGTAGAGAAAATCTGATGTTGTGACAGCTCTACTATGTTTGCGATGTTTCATTTTAAAATGGCTGCACACTTGCTGTGGTGCTCATGTGAGAAAAATTAGTTCAAGTCTGACTCGTGTTTTTTTTTTAATCTATTTTTCCTTTTTTTTTTAATCCATAATTTTTTCTAATCTTTTTTGAGGCTTCTGATGCGATGTGGACGGACACAGGCTCTGCCCCCTACAGTTTTGTTTTCCACATGTTTTGGTTCTTGCTCCGCAGGTCAAACTGTGAGTGGCGAGTGTCAGGGAGAGATGCTGGACTACAGGCGCATGCTGATGGAAGATTACTCGCTCAGTCCCGAGATCGTGCTGCATTGCAGAGGGGAGATTGACACGCACTGCTCCGGCCTGCACCACAAGGGTCGAACCCTGCACTGCCTCATGAGGGTGGGAGTGAAGGAGAGAGAGAGAGAGAGAGCGCGAGAGCGCGCGCGCACTTCTGTTGTGTGATCTTTGATGTTCACTCACTTAGCACACGCATCATTTGGATTAAAACTAAATCGTAAAAATAAGACCATTTATAGGGGCATTCACTATAAACATCATTTATTTTCAACCTTAGGCCCCAATATTTAAAAAATTTACAAATGCAATAAAAATATTGGTATCGGTACTCGGTATCGGCAAGTACCAAAAATAAAAGTATCGGTATCGGGCGAGTACTGGAAAAAGTGGTATAGGTGCATCCCTAGTTTTAATGCACTTTGATACGCTCACTTGCTAGTTGGTCCGGTCGATATCGTGAATAACACAGATACATTCAGTATTAGCAATGGGTCGATATGTTGTCCATTTTTGGGGGGGATATATTTTGGTATAACTGTGGCCATTTGGCTGATGAACAGAAACTGTTTTTTTTCCAGATTGTCAAAACAAAGTACATTAACGACTTGGTCAAATTACAATAGACTTATTTTTTATTTTCATGTTTGTTTGTTTTTTATTAGAGATAGATCTATCTCTATCTATCTATCTATCTATCTCTCTATCTCTATCTATCTATTTATCTATCGCTCTATCTATCTATCTCTATCTATCTATTTATCTATCGCTCTATCTATCTATCTCTATCTATCTATCTCTCTATCTATCTCTCTATCTATCTATCATCTCTCTATCTCTATCTATCTATCGCTCTATCTATCTATATCTATCTATTTATCTATCGCTCTATCTATCTATGCTCTATCTACTATCTCTATCTATCGCTCTATCTATCTATCGCTCTATCTATCTCTATCGCTCTATCTATTCTATCTATC